TTTCCCCCTTTATATTTTGGTGAGAGGAGCTATTTTTAGTTTCAATTTCATTTGATAATATATGTCTATTATTTGTACCTATAGGTGTCAACGAGCCAAGCTTAAGCTCAACCCATTATTGAGTCCAACAAATAAATGAGCTTGAGCTCGACTCATTTATCAATATTAACAAGACGCTTTAAGATAAAAAATTATAAAATTATGTAAAATTCCCTACTCCCAAGCCTCAACAACTCAGCTCGACTCAACCCGAAACAAACTCTTAAGCAGCTCGTTTTATTTAACGTTCGGAAAAGATAATATATATGAACAAAAATCTACTTATCTAAATTAAGAATTGGATCCACGGATTAATTGTCTCTAAATAGATATTCTCATTTCTAGTGGGCTGATCAATAATAAAGCCCAATGTTACTGAGTCCTTTTGTGGACCATGCGTTAAATATATATGATTGGATATGAATTCAACTCGTAAAAAACTAGTTTTTTTAAACTATAGTTAAGTTTGAAAAAAATAGTATGATTAGTTGTTAGTGAATATAAATAATATTTAAATTAAAATAATTAAAGTTGATTTGATGTAAAAGTAGGAGAAAATGATTGGAAGTGATGGTTAGTTGAAATTATGTGAGTTGATGAATAGTGAATTAAAGTTGATGTGATATGTAATAATAATTGGTTGTTATTATTTAATTATATTGATGATATTACAGATAGTGGAGTTGAGTTAAAGTTGAGTTAAATTTAAGTTTTGAGTGAGATATTTACTGTACAAAATGTAAACAATCACGTCTATAGTTTCTGTTGATTAATTAAAAAATAAAAAAACTAGAAATGAAAAAAAAAATGATGCCAACTGCATGTGGAATGTTAGTAAATGAATACACGATTGCATAGTTTCATAAATATCAAATCCAAACTTCATTTTATTTCATTTTTATGTGTTTATAGTATATATGAAATATGAACTCAAAATTAAAGCCACTTCTAAGTTACTTTTTATATGCATTTATTTTCAGTAATGCTCTCGTACTCACGGTGGGCACATGTTAATATGTCAATCGCTAATGTTAAACATATTAGCATCACCAATGTGCGCATGCCACATAAACGGTGGACATATTAACATGTGTCCACCGATTAATAGAGAAACATTCTCCCATTATTTATTTATTGTCACAAGAATGCGTGAACCCTTGACGCGGAGCAGAGTGAATCAACTCTCAAGCCGCCGCATATCACGAGGCACCGCTGGCAAATTGCAATCTGGCATTAGCTTACTTGAATTGATTTTTTTTTTTATTACAATAATGTGATATACAATACAAAACGTTGTTAAAAAAATTTAAAAGTATAATTCAAAGTTACGTGATTCCAAATAAAATAGTGAATATTAAAAAATATGCACGCGTTTTTTCCTACATTTGAAATAGCCATTTCCATTGCAATTCTATAATAATAATAATAATAATAATAATAATAATAATAATAATAATAATAATAATAAT